GTCCCTTAATTGTCTTCCCTATGCTTATGTGAGGTTGCTTGTCTATAATTATTATATTCTGTTCTGCTTATTTTTCTTGAAATACTCTGTTAAGGTAGAAAAATGCACACATACAAGAAGTCTTAAATTCCAGGATGCAGTAATTTCACCCTCCTGACCAGATCACATGTGATGTCCACAAAGCCCCACAGATGCAACAATTCTGTGATGGATGCAGGACGTGAATTAGAAATAAGCTTCCCCCATGGACAGATTTCCGTGTGATTATACTTGACGGTATTTCTTGAGCACTACTCCGTAAGATCCGTCTCTGACCTTTGTTGGATGTGATGCTGGACTAGTTGTGCCTCTGGTCTCCTTCAGGGTGGCGATTTCTAAGGCACTGGTATTACACCTCTACAAGCTCCTCTCGTAACTTGTGACACAAAATCAGGACACATAATTTTTGTTTGTGATGCTGTGCCTTACCTGCCCCTTCTCTATTGCTGTGCATTTTCATGATTCCCATCACTTTATATTCTGAGCTTCTGTTGTTTGACACTCCCAAACTCTGTTCCTTGCTGTCTCCCAGAGCAGTTGTTCTCTACAAAAGGACTGTCTGAAGGGAGCAACTGTTCAGAGGGAGCGTAGTGTGATGGAGCATATGAGGTTTGGGATACACTGTTGAATGGGGAGGTGCAGGTATACTAACTCTGAGCAACATTTCCTTCCCTCTAGGTGCCTTACCTCCAAATGGGATTCTCTTCCTTAAGCTGAACACCCAAGGCAAATGGTGTAGAGGGAGGTGCAAACAACCAAGAGTGATATCCTAAAGAGATCTCGCTTAGAAGGGGTTGCTTAGGCAGGGCTGCCAGAAATGCTGAGGAGAGCAGTGTAGTTTTAGCCCTTCTCCTTTTGTGGAGATAGGCACTTGGCTGTGGATTGCCAGAAGGTGCCTGTCTTGGTCTGAGGATTTACTCCCTTGACCTTCCTCTGGGAGATGAGGCTTTGTATTGGCTGTAAGAGCGTCCAGGGGTGGCTCTGCCTTCTCCCCTTCTGCCCCTCCTTTTACGAGCTAGAGCATTCAGTTGTGGAAAACCCAGTTTTTGTTCTCTCCTCTGTCTTGAATATTTAGGTATTAAGTATTAGCAGTAGGAAGGGCAGCAGAAGGAGCAGTCTCCTTTTGCTCAGAATGAACACCATACATGTTGGGCAGTGTTCCTTATTGTTTGCACTTGCTGAACTAAGACTTGTGTAGCCATTTTCTGCAAATGACTGTGAACAGCTTCAGCAGGAGTGTCAATGGCAGATGGATGTACATTTCGAGGATCTAAGCTTTGGCCCTGGATTTATACAAGGACAGCTAGGCAGTGGTCTGTGCTATAACCATGTTTTCCTCTGACTTTAGCTCTGTGGGGACTGCACGCTGACCAGAGCACCTCTAGTAGAGCTGTGGGTCTTTATTCTGTGTATGTAGAGGTAAGGAGCTCTTGCAAGAATATACAAGTGGCAGAAGCTTCTAGAGTAGGGCTAGAGATTACCTGGACAGTGGTTTGTGCACTAAAAATGTTACTGGATTTCCTTGAAATTGGACAGTTGCTGAAGACACAGGCTCTCCCTGGTTTCCACCTTCGTGATGTTGTGATGTTTGCGTTTGCGTTTTCAGTTTGGCAGCTGCTTAGTGTGTCCCGCTCTAAACAAATATCATAATAACGAACCTGTGTTCTGTGTAGGACTGAAAGAAACAGATTATTTCTTGCAAATGTTGGAGTATTCTCTGGTTTACTTCATGGCAGGGAGTAAATAGGAAGTGTCCTCTGTAGGGTTAAGAGTGAAATGCAATACTGATGGATTCTGGTCATGATGCCAGCCTCTACTGAGTCAGTCAGTAGCATCTGTGATTGGTATGAACGACTGTTGGGAAAACAGTTCTAAAAAATCTGTTAATCATGATAAAACAATTGGTTAAAAGGAATTAAATATAGAAAATGTTTTTTTTAAACTTCATTTAGCCAGTCATATACCGGAGTAGTCTCATACCTTTGATTTCTCGGACAGTTTCTGCATACGTATATATTTTTATTTTCACATGAAATATGTTTAAGCATCTTTAATCCTAGAATGGTGTCTCCTCCCTTTTTTAATATTTAATCAGGCAACTGAGAAGGAGATGCCCAGAGGCCTGTTCATTCTGTATATAATCCATACATAATAGCTTTATAGTTAGAATGCTGCTCTATTTTTTCATGTTAGCACTTTTGTTTCTGGTGCTCTGTCTGACTTCGGCACCTGCACACCTATGATGGAGCATGGCCCTGGGTGAAATAGCTCGTCTAGACAGCGTAGGCAGAACCTGACACCAAAAAGCAAACCTGTGGGATTAGACTAAGTAAGAGGTGATTAATTCTGGTCTACTACACTTGAAAACTGATGATGTCTCCTGCTAAGGAGGGGAATATTTATTGCAGAAAGATGAAGAAGAAACAGCACCACCTGTGGCATGTGTCTTTACTCCCATCTTTTGAGAGACTAGCTCTTAGAGCTTAAAACTGTCCTTTTTAGGGAAGCTGCTCTCTCTCTTTTAGGTGGAAATCTTGGAGGAAGAATAAGTACCTCTTCCACCAGCTTGGAACATCCTGTCTGGGCTTCTAGCACAATCAGATTTAAGCTTGGTTTTTGTGATCCAGTCTCCTGTGGGTTTTCCCGCCACTTGCTTTTGAAGCTGCCTCTGGGGTGGGGAGCTGGAAGTGAAGCCGTGCCCAGCCTTGGTGCTGGGTTGTGGGCTGTGAAGCAGGACAGGCCCAGGCAGCTGCTGTGTGTTGTTGACAGGAGCTGCACATGGTGTCTGCAAAGAAGCTGCTTGGTCAGGCACACAGAGAGGCCAAAGGATTCCTCGGACAGCTTCTGGAGCAGGGTGCCTTGGAAGTACCTGTCTGGTTATGTTGGTCCAGTCAAGACACAATGGCAGTGCACAGGACACCCTGGCTTGGGGCTGGGACATGTGTCTTCTGTGGAGTGGCTTTAGGTTGCAGAAACAAACCCAGAGCCTTGGAAAAAATGGTCAGAAGCAGATTTTGGGTAGGGGACCTAACTCTTACGGTGGTGTTGGCCTGGCAGGGCAGCAGGTGGTTGGCACCTGGCACCACCAGGTACAGCATTGCATTGTTGACTTGCATTTAAAATGTGGCCCAGGCTGTTGGGTTTGTCAAGACAAATATTGGCTAGCTTCGTTCTGCTAGAACAAAATTTCATGCTGGTGGCTGATAGTCTGGTGGACTTTCAGCACTGTACACAAATACACACTTAAAGTTTATGGGCGTTTTTCTTTAATTCTTTGAGATGTGAAAAAGTCTAATGGACTGGGAGAAGTTTCTCTTCTCTGTAGCCCAAAATCTGAGGACACATGATTGCATTTCAAGAAACTTACCAAGCAGCCGGCACTGAGATGAATTAGCAATTTTTTTAACTAGACCAGAGTCTCAGCTTGTGCAAACTGATGATAACAGACGGCACTACTTTGCGTCGGTGAGGCATGGCCTGAATGCAGAGGGAAGAGAGAGGACCTCGTTGTCAGTGTGGCTCTGGCTTTCCAACTTCGGGCAAATTTTTTTCCTGTACCTCCTCAGTTTGCCTGCCTGTAGAGCAGAGATAATATTTTTCAGTCCCTGGGGGAAGATCACACATGTGAAGGACTTTGAAGATAAAAAGCACTCTATACTAGCTATCGCTGTTAGCTTTACATAAAACCAAAGCATGTAGTGTTATCTAACCCTTTTATGCAATTCACGCATATCTAATAAGAACTCAGAAAT